AACATATAATCATTTAACCTTATCATAATAAAAAAATTTAAGGTTTTTCAATATCATTGCTTTGAAATAATAACACAATTATAAATTTACCCTAAATTTACTTTCGATTTTGTCAAAATTTTCTATTTAAACTTTATAAGATTTTAGAGAATTTTATTAGAGGCTTTTGATATTTGTAAATTTAATTTTTGAACATAAATTCAATATAATTGTCATTTTTGATACGATCAAATATTTAATTAAATATCTAAAATATTGGAAACTGTGATAATCTAATTATAGGTTATTTAGTTGATTTAAATTCTGTAAGCACTAAAATTTATTGCCAATTCTTAATGTGCTGAAATTACAGCTGTGTAACTTGAGAAATAAGAAATTCAATTAATTAAGTTATTATAATTATGACTAAAAGAATAGAGCTTTTATTAAATGGAATTTTAGCATCTAATAAATTTACTTATAATTTTATTTATGAATAAAATTGCTATATTAGAACTTCTACTTTGTTCAATAACAAAATAATCAACTTTTGGTCTTTATTAGACATCCTAATTTATATCAGTTGGTCGCTTCTTAAGGGCCATTCATCCTCAAAAAAAATTAAACTACAAGAGTACAACTCAATCTCAATGAAATTAATATCATGTGGTTAAAATTTTTGATATTTTTTTTTTTTGGAAAAAATAAAATGATTAATATATTTAATAGTTGAAATTTTAGCGATAACGTCAATATCAATTTCAATTTATTTGAATTCATTTTCGTCATCAAAATACTATTTTTTTTGAATAGAAGTATGCTTCTTATTAGTTTATAATATCTCCTTTCAAGTTTGATGCTCCTTATGCTTGGCAATTAGTGGTGATTAAATAATATTAAAATTAAATACTTCATTCTGGAAATAGATTGTTTTAGCAGTATTTCGAATGTAGAAAATATAATAAGTCATTTCTGAATTAAAAGACTTACCTGCAAAATTAGATTCTACTAAAGTACTTTCAGGAGGAAATGAATAAAAAATTTTAATTAGATGGAAATAGTAGTTAAGTTTAGTCAGTATACTTGTTTCAAAATTCCATAAAAAACTGAGATATCATATTTTCGAGATGGAAATGTAGTATTATTAGGAGAGAGAAGTATATAACTAAATAGTTCCACTATGGCCTTTGATTAATTTATGTTTCCATTTTTTTAACACATGTAAAATTTATTTGAATCATCAGCATTATTGATTCAATCATAGGATTTCTAAAATTTAAATATAAATGCACAATTTTTACTTAAATTAAATATTCCAACTTCTGAATATACTGCTCAAACCCTTATTTTAGGGTTGAAAGGACTTCTTGAACATTTATATAGAATCCTTTTTTAAATATTTATAATATGATATTTAATTAAAGTTTAATAACTTTTCTTATGAATAAGAATGATATAATTTATCAAAAAAACTATTACATATAGAATAAAAAGAAAAAGGTTTTGATTTCTAATGTTAATTATCTTAAACAGCTTCCTTTTTATCATATATAAAAATGAAGTTTAAATATTAGAATTAGATTTCTTTTGCCCTTCCAATAGTTGTTGTCTATCTATTCCAGCATTTTAGATAACCATCTTTATAAATAAACATTTTCCGCAAAATTAGTGCAAAAAGTAATATAGTTTTATATAATTAAATTCTTAAACCTTAATGTCTTGTTTACGATTTGAAATTAGAAGTTTAGCATTTACTTTAAGATGAGGCCCAATTATGACAAAGTGAATAATTTATTATAACTAAAATGAATTCTTCTTAAGGTTTCTAACTATAGTATTATTCTTTTAACTAATATCAATTTAAATAAGCAAGTTAATTAGTCATATAATATGTTTACACAGATACTATTAATAGCTTATAATCCAGAAGTTTTTAGTAACATTAGGAAAAACATTACAATATTTCCAGTTTATATTGTCATCAAATTATATCTAGCCTATTCTCACAAGAATTTTATATATAAATATGATTTAAATATAAAATTTGTCAATTAATTTGAGTTCGATCTATAGCATTTTTTATTTAATTGTTCTTAATTTATTTTAATACAAAATGTGCTTAAGAATTTCTATTAGAATGTATTAGGATTTTATTAAATTTCGAACTCTGTATAAGAACTAAGTCCTTAATTATAACCTAAGAATATACATGAACGGATTTTCAAAACATTTAGATTTTCTACTGGGTCTCATTATTTTTAAATTATATAATTAGTTAAATACCTTTATTTTTTTTGTAAGCTTTTATTTTCCTAAGGACAAGAGGCTATGTAATTTTATTAGAATCTCTGATGATTTCTCAAAAGTCAAAGTAAAACTTTAGATAAAATTCAATAAATAAACTTAAACTATCAATAACCATTATCAATTATTTCATAGTTCTGTTTAGTTTTAATGTCTAATTATCAAAAATTCAAATTAATCATGGCTAAAAAAAGAATTTTCTTGCAAAATATTATTAATATGAAGATAAAATTTGAATTTCAAAAGTGGTTTATTAAGGGGATAAAAAATTGATTATTGATATTTAGTGTTTTTGGTTAATAGATAAATAAAGGTATATTTGAGTTTTCATTTTATTATTGAATCTATAGGTTAGCCAACCAAAAGCAACATATTATATTTTTTATTTTTTAAATAAATAAAATTCTTTTATTAATCAAAGGATTTATCATACATTAAAACAAGAACGAAGCATAAATTAATGATTATAATTAAATGATCATCTAAAATTAATGTAATCTATCCAATCCTAAACTTCAACAGTCATCCTATACACAATAGCTAAAATTGAAGACCATTTCTTTAAATTAAATGAAGAAGTAGAATTAGTTTTATTCTTCATTTATTTTATAATCTGCTTTCACAATTATTGATGAATCAATAGATTCAATTCTACTTATTCCCTTTAATTA